CCAGAGAGGTGCCCGCAGCGTCCTGCCCGCACACACTCAGCTACTTGTTAGTTACCCCTCTGTTCAACCCTGCTTCTCCCCGTGGGCCTCAAGTCTTCTATTTGTGAAACAAGACAAGTAAATATCTTAAACGGCCAGAGGATGGAAAATACACTAAATTAGCTACAGCACAAAGCCTAGTACATAAAAAGCACTTCATATTTACTGAACGGATGGACAAAGAAAAATGCTGAGTTTCAGAAAGAAAAGTCTACCAACCCAAACTACCCATACAGAAAGAAAATGACTTATCCCTTTCATTAAATGAAGGAGACACACTTACAAATCAACAGTTTTGAGACCAGAACATATTTAAAATTAGAAAACGTATTTCAGTCGTCTGCAACCTGGATTGTTGAATAATCCAAAGCTACAACGGCCCGGCTGTCATTACTGTTGTCTGAATGACTCACTTCTCTCCCAGATTTTCTGGTGGTTACTCCCTGCTATCTTTGTTTCCAGTTTTTCCCCTCCAGGATAATCCCATACTAATTAAACTTCTTGAAGCGTTGTTTTCACCACCACGTGGTGTGAAAACATCCTTCCCCTTTCCCTCCCTGCTTTTCCGCCTTCCATTAAACAACACTCCTCATCTGAAGCCTTTCAATCAGCGTCCTCACGTCACTTGTCAGTTCTCTGTTCAGAGCCCCTCTCATTCAGGGGTTTTTATCTGGGGTGTATTGGTTTTTCAGGCTGGATTTTAGTAAGTCGGAAGATGCCCGAACGTCTATGTAGAACGGTGTGTCTGTGTGTGACTCTTTCCTGAGAGATGATCCATTTCAACAGGCAACCGAGAAGACTCAAGACGCCAGAGACGAAGACCGTCCCCCTCCACGGGGCGCCCCAGCGCCCTCTGCTGGGGGCCGCCCTCTGGGTGCAGACCTGCCTCCCGTCTTCCCAGCTCCAGCTCCTCTGAAGCCCCGGCCAGGTGCTGGAGCCCCCACGTGGCTAGGATGGGACCTCCAGATCTCGGGGTGCTCGTTCCCCTGGCAGGATCCTCCAGCCCGCAGATGAGCGTGGGAGTGAGGCAGAGGGATGGGACGCTGGGCAGGCTGTACCCATCATGGACTTACAGCCTCTTCTTCCACAACGACCTCGCACTGTCTTTCCTGAATTCTCTGAAGCAGGACTCTCGAAGTCAGTTTGAAAAATAAACCTAAACAATAATAAACGGGACGCCTCCCAGGGCCCGAGTTCCTACACCACGTGACGGGCAGGTGCTCTCCCGAATCATCTTGCGGGAGCGCTTCCAATGGGTGGGCAGCTGCTCCAGCTCATGGCCCACGTGGTGGTCTCCGTGGGGTATCTTCTGATTGATGATGATCAGCTCTGGGTGACCCTACCCGCCTGTACACTGTCTCTCTCCGCAAGCCCAGCTTCTGGAATCCCATCCATGCCCAGGCTCTGAGTATGGACGTGCAGTTACAGATGGGACCTCCTCTCCTTGATCCCTGGTGCACCCAGCTGTAAGTCCTGAATGTTACAGCTGTGCTCATGGCTGGCTGGGCTGATGTGATGAAGTGAACACTGGGCCATCAGTCTATTAGCTGCCGGATGGAAAACAGTGAAAGGCCAGGGAGACAGGAAGAACACACTAAGAAACCCACAGGTCTGGCTTGAACGTGGCCCCTCCAATTCACAGAAACATTTCATTACCATCAAAGGTCAGAGTCAGTTACTGGTAAAAAAATCAATAAACTTGTGGGGAGTAGGGGGAGGCTGAAGAGCTAAATTCACAACATGTCCTCTGTATCGAAGGGACTTGGTAGAAATACATGTATTTCAAACTCTTGGGGATAAAACTGGTTGTCAGGAAATGGACCATTTGTGTAGTTTCAGGGGTTCCTGCTGTGAACAGATTTTTAAAGACTCACATCAGTGCAAAACAGAGAGAAAAAAAAGACCACGGAGGGATTTCAAAATTGTGTCTGCCTGTTAGTCTTTATCACCCATTTTGTTGGACTTCGTGCATGAAGTTGTTCGTGTTTTTTCCTTTTTTTTTTAAATGAAAGCAATCCATGAGCGGGTTTTACCTGTCCCTGCCAATTACTTCAGAGAGACGGAAATTCTTATTGCTGGCAACCCGAGGCCATCTGTTAAATTATGCTGGTGGCATATACTAGAAGAGACATTCTGACTTTTTAATCTGAACATCACGGTCTGAATGTATTACTCATAACAAGACGCGCACTGTCTAGACTGACTGTTCGATGAAAAATCTCATTCCTTCCTCCTCGTCCTGCACCAACAACAGTGATGTACGGACTGCCAGTTTCTGAAGTCCAATCTGTAGCTCACCCGGCCGTGAGGAAAGGGCCGCCCTCTGTGAACAGGCAGACACCCTTCTCCGTTAAGGGCACCTGGGTGTCTGCTACCAACTGATTACATCTGCCATTTCTCAGCTGCCTGCAAATGTATTTGCTCATTAACATTTGGTCAGTTGAAGGCTGTCAAACGCGATTGCTGGGCAGGTCAGTGTCATTCAAGTACTTCCGAAGGGGCCAGAAAGTGCCTTCCACAGTGGTATTTTTCTTCGAAGAGTGGTCTCCCTCAGGAAGAGAGGGGCAGAGAGAACAGAAGGAGGGGAGCCGGTGAGAAAGCACACGCAGGGCGCCGGGGGCTTCAGCCTCTCCTTCCGCTTGCCATGGGGTCTCGTTAATCTGCAGGTCCTCAGTGGGAAGATGGAAGTAAGATTTAACTTGATGTTCATACTTTTTCAGAAAATGTGGGCTACTAATCAAGAACTCGGTAGTGTTTTGTATATTTTGCAATAAAAACTTCAATATATGTACTTCCAATAAAATCCGTAAAAACTGCAAATTTCAAATAATTGTCGAATGTAATACATCAGATCAGATCCGTTACGGCCCTTACCCTGGGACACTCTGAAAGTCTGGTATGGATACGAAGCAACAACAACCGGCTCTTCTAGAGGCATCGGTTAGTTCGGTTTGGAAGCTCCCCTGGTTGGACTCAGGGGACTGGAAACACATCCTCATCCTGTCCCAGATGTAAGACAGGCACTGAGCAACTCCTCATGAAAGCCAGATTCAGGCCAGTTTCATGCTGGGCGCAGTCCACGCGGCATTTCCTCTGGCTGCAAAGTGCCCTTGGAAGAGACCTTCCCGACATCATTCTGGAGAAGGAAACACACCTGAACCCGGATGTAGCGCTCGTAAGTGGCGACGCAAGACCGTGGCGTGATGCCACCCAGGTTCTGGCTGGGGCGGTGGGGATTACTCCACTTCAGCTACACCTAGAGCCCTGCTGTCCAGCACCACCAGAGGGGAACAGCCAAACAGCTATTTAAATCAGCATTAAAACTTACAGTTCAGCTCCTCATTCGCAGTAGGCACATTCTGAGTACCAGCATATGACTAGCGGTACCAAACTGCACCGCGCAGACGTAGAAGATTTCCACCAGCGCAGGAAGCTCTCCGGGAGGGTGCTGCTCTAGGTGCTGGAATTCGGGTCTCTGGCCACGACCACCTCTTCTATCTTGTGACTCATTTACTGAACTTGGCCTCAATCCTTTAGTGCCTTCCCTGTCCTCATGGCCCACCGGACACGTCTGACCTCCCTGCCTCCAAGCCTAGACTTTCTAACCATGATTTTCTTGGACTCCTTGATTCCCTTGCGCCTTGACTCCTCATGGGCATCCCCCTGCCAATCTCTAACTGTTGGCAGGTCGCACGCGGATGTCCCTGCTCCTGCTTCTAGGATATAGTGCACCGCTGGAAACAGTTCACCTCATATTGACTCACTAACTTGGCCCTGATGATGCCTCTTCCCAAAAACCTCAGAATCGCCCAGGATCCTCGCTCTCCATAGATGACTTGCCTTCTCGTTGGTGGGGAAGACGTACAAAAATCACCCATGAACTTCCCCGACATGTTTCTCTGATTTTCGGCTTCCTTTAGCCAAAGTGACCCACTGACTGCTTTCCACCCAGACACACTGACTTCCTGCTTTCAGAGCTTTGCCTGTGACGTTTCCGTCAGTTAGGTGTTCTCTCAGCCTCACCCCGGCAACGAAGCTGTCTTTAGATCATCCCTTCCGAAAGCAAACTCCTTCTTGTCCGAGTTTCCCTAACATTTTGTCTGTGCTGCTCACATCAGGGTCCCCCGCCAACACACACCAACAAAAATCAAACTGTATTTCTATATGCTAGTGATAAACATGTGGGCATGAAAATTAAAAAGACAGTATCATATACAGTTTCTCAAAAAAAGAGAAACACTTAGATGCACATCAAACAAAACAGGTATGAGACTTACATGCTGAAATCCTCACAATGCTGATGAAGGAAATAAAAGATCAAAATAAATACAGAGACATACCATGTTCATGGCATAGAAGACTCAAAAGAGTAAAGACACCAATTCTTCCCCAACTGATTTCAAATTTAATGCAGTTCTTACCAAAATTGTAGCAAGAGTTTTATAGATGTAGATCATTCTAAAATTTATGTGGAAAAACAAAGCAACTAGGATATCTAAATCAATTTTGAAAAAGAAGATTAAAGTGGGAGCAATCAGTCTACTCATTTTCTTTTCTTTTCAGTCACCACACAAGGTTTCAGTGATGTAAGAGGGGTCCTTGCTGGAGTCTCCGGCATCCCTTGCAGCAACCAGGTCTTTACACTGAGAGTAGTCAGTATTCAGCGAACTTCTATGTATCTATTTTTGCACATGCCAGATTAATTGCTAAGGTAGACAGGGTTAATTCAGTAATTAATTGAATACACTTCTTCTAATGATCTCAACATAAAGTTCTCACTATACGATTACACTGCCAGGACTTGTGACGGGAAAACAAGGGCGCATGTGTTGACGCCTAGAACTGCAGTCAGCGCTGCTATGGCAACAAGCGACGGTGTTCTGAGGGAGGGCGAGCCGGGTTCCAAATGACGGGGAAGGGGCAGACAACCGAGAAAGGCTTCAGAGCTCGAATAAACTTACCTTGCGTCGCAATGTAATGATTGGGTCGATGATAACCCTAAAAATAAATGAGAAAGAATATTAGACAAACCTAAAAATCAGTAAGCAGCACGCAAGTCCCACACTAAGTTTGCCGAAATGAACGCGCGTACCCACACCAACAGCTGCGTCGCCTGAACGGTAAATGACCAGACCCAGCACCACTGGTTCCTCCTAATAAGCAAGGGTGCGTCCGACACAGCAGTTCTGATGCCTGCACCGGGCGGGGCGGGGCAGTGAGTAACGGAACCACACACAGGCTATGAGATGACGGATAAGCACGAAACACGAGCAATTTACAGACTTCCTGAAATCACAGGACCACGACTTCTATTAGAGTGCAAACCGCCTGGGAACGGGCAATAGAATTTCATTTGTGTTTGGGCTGTTATTGGCAATGTGACAAAGCTCTAATGTGTATTCTGATATATTAGTCTAGGCAGTTAATGTCAACAGTAATACTAAACATCATTCTTAAACACCACTAATGCCACGACATGATGCTGTAGCAGGAGCCAGGGACTCAGAGGGCAGAAGTTCTGCAAGACCCCTTCCATTTATCTGATCCCACAAGAGGGGTAAGATGAAAACCGAGACCAAAGAAAAAGGGAACGAGGGACTCTGCAGGATCAATATCTGGGGAAGATAAAGCCAATTCAGAGAAAATTACACACGAGTAACACACCATATCACCACGGACCTGGATACCTTCCCTTGCTGTCCCCTGAGATTGCCCACCACACCGTGCCCACAGCCAGCTGGAAAACAGAGTAAACTCGGAAAGGCCGACTTCTCAGACACTTAGATGCGTATCTGTGAGATTCTTTCTGCTCTTAAAAACAAGCCCACAACAGCGAACAACAAAAGTAAACACACTCTTTAATACAACTGGCCTGCTCTTGGTCTCAAGCACAGAATCACGACCAACATTAAAACCATTTAGATGGTTCCCATTTCTTGCCAGCTGATAAACCCCACGAGGCGAGACCCCATCTGACTTATTCACTGTACATGACAGTCCGAGCGAGGGGCTGGGAGATGGGGGGCCCATCTGTTGAACTGAAATGGTCCGCACCGTCTGTGTTGCTGAACCCGACAGCCACTTCCCAGGCCCCGTCTACTTGACCTGAGAGGCATGAACACAGCTGAGCCCCTGAAATGCTTTCTGCACTGGCTTCCGGATGGGACGCTCTCTGAGTTTCTTCCTGCCCGCCCCGCGGCTCCTCCTCTGTCCTGGGCCTGCTCCTCCCGTTCGCCCAGATGCTGATGTTCGGATGCCGTGTTCCTGGGCTCCCCTTCGTCCACACTCACTTCCCGGCTGAGCTCATCCAGCCTCCTGGCTGTCAAGGCCCCCAGCGTACCAGGGAGCCCTGTGTTCTCACCTGCAGCTGCACCTTTCCCCTGAAACCCCGAGGCAACATCAGTGGCCTAGTCACACCTCTACTTGGATGCTAACATGCATCTGAAGCCTGACATGCCTAAACCCGACTCCTTGTTGCCTCTAGCCCACCCCGCGGAGTCTGCTCCCCCACAACCTCCTGAAGGCACGGGGCCCCCTCCTTCCTCCCACCCCACGGCCAATCTGGCAGCGAAGCCGTTGCTTTGCACATCTCTTTCCCTCCAGGGCCCCCGCCTGGGCCAGGCCACCAGTGTCCCTCTCCGATGGCTGCCACGGCCGCCTCTCAGGTCCTCTTGCTCCGACTCCCGCTGACCTTCAGTGCATCCTCCACTCAGCTTCCAGACCCTGTCACTCCTCTGCATCTGTGCATTTGTCACTCCTCTAACAACTGCCCAGCTCACAGTCAGAGCCAAACTCCTCAGCACTGTGGACGCTACCTGGCCTGTGACCTCTCTTGTCCCATCACCTGGGACTCCACCTCCTTCACATCACAGACACTCCTGGCTTGTCTTTCTCCACATTCGCCATTTGTGGTCCACAGCGAGGCCTTTCAATGGGCTGCTTCTCAGCCTGGATGCTCAGTGCCCAGGTGTCAACCTGGCTCAGCCCCCCACCTTCTTGGCTCAAAGGTCACCTTCTCAGTGGAGCTGACTGCAGCCCCTCTATTCCAAGCCACAGTCCACCTCCAAGCCTGGGGCTCCTTCTCCTCCGTTGGGGCTTTCCTCCCTCCCCAGTCCCTCCGATCATCTAACATCCCAGACAGAGTTAACAGACTTATCTCATTTACTGTTTCTCCTGATTAGACCATCAGATCCATTATGTCAGAGGTCTGTCTTTTGTTTTTGGTCTGAATTGTTCACAGTTATAACACCAGTACCTCGAACTGTTACTGCCCTAGAATAGGTGCTCAACAAAATCTCACTGACTAAGTGGAAAGGGAACTGAATGTGGACTCTCCTCCTGGTTAAAATGGAAACGAATGAACCTGGTATTGTCAGCACGTTCACGTCCTCCCTCCTCTGCATCTCCACCCACCGATTCTTCACAGCTCAGTCCACGTGGCCTCCACGACAAAGCCTGATCTGATCGCAACGAGCTCAGTCAGTGACTCAGCAGACCCTCACTGAGCGCTCACAACAGCTGAGGCGTGTGTCAGGGCCAGGGAGATGGCAGTGAGGGGGGCACCGGCCCTCTGCTTGGGGACCCAGCAGGGGCTGCTGGAGCTGAGACCGCGGCGTGAACAGGGTTCCCTGGGAACCTCCCCGGGGAAGGGGTGTTACAGTGGAGATGTCTCCTTCTTCAGCATCGAAGCTGTGAGGTCTCGGGGAGAAGGCAGCAGCCTTGGGCCCCTCAGAGTACCCCTGTGAGGCACTCACGAAACATCTGCTGAGCAAGGGAGTAAGTGCAATGTGTCTTAGGAAGAAACTCCGCTTTAATAAAAAAAATTCTACCTTGGGTTGGGTGTTTTTGGTCGTTTTCAACTGTATGGTCTAGGGGTCTTCGTTTGAAGAACGAGATGCGAATTATACTTTAAAGAATCCTTCCCAGACCCCACCCTCAAATCTATAACCCAAAATGCCAAACTTGCCAATGAGCGCTCAGCATAACATTCTTAGTTATTTTCCAATGACCCCTAGAGATAGTGATGCCGGTATTTTCAGTTGTATCTGAGCAATACTCAACCAAGACAAGAAAGGGATCCGTTTATCTGAGTAACACCTGCACATGGAAGTACTGACGGATTAAGGAACAGCGTGATGTCCAAGCACAGAGGATGCCTCGGGGGCTGGGACCTGTTTAATGTAAACTTGGGCCTTGGAGGTAACAGCCACTTTCCCTTGATTTTCAGTCTACTTTTGATTTCATTCATTCTTTCAAGTGAAAACATGCTGTCTCCTAAAGAATTTATTCTGATGTAAGGCATTCAGTTAACATGATGCCGAATGAACAAAGAAGCAGGCTTCAATAATTAAGCAGCCTGCATATTTAATGACACGTCTTGCGTGCATCAGAAGTCCTGGTTAACAGCTGCAGACGACTTTGAAGGCAACTTGAAAGTCTAGTGATGACAAGAGATGGCAAATCATTGAATTAGGAATTAGAGAGTTTTGTCCTATTAATAGGCAAACAGATTTTTTTAAGTGTCAAATAATCCAAGTTGTTGACAAAAAATGGAAATAAGATTTTCTTAGTCCACAGAAAGAAGGCAGAGACTGTCTCAGGGAATTCACCAGCCTGCAGGCTGACAGGTGTTCACCGGGAAGTTCTGAGTGGACAGGACCAGGCTTGCGTGTTTGCTCCCGGGGTTGGACCAAGGTGCGTCTGCCAGTCTTAGAGCGGACGCACGGGGGCATGGTATGTGTCAGAACAGATAGGTTTACTGACAGTTTCAAAATACATACGTCGATATAATTCCCATTGATGTAGTCCGAGTTGTTGTCTCCTTCTATGGTCTGCAGCCTCACGCGGGAATGGTCGTCTGTCAAGGGGAAGGGCAAAAAAAAAAAAAAAATTAACAAAAGCAATCTGTTGGGCTGCCCAGAGCCCCAGATTGTACGCACATCACAGGGGAGCATCCACACGCATGCTGCTTTAGAGACAAAGACTTAAATACTTCACACCTCCCATCCTTTCACTCTTCAGACTGCGAAGGATTTATAGCTCTTTGCATTCTACAATAAATCTCATTAACTTATTCTTTGATCGTTTACAGACGTGAAGCGTTGGCAGAGGCTGGAAACTTTCACCTGTGAATCACAACAGAACTATTTCTTGGACTGGAAGTTTAGCACCTTCACTAAATCATCTGGGAGCCCTGAGATCCTGAAGGTTGCCTATGACAGCCAGCTTGACAAATGACAGTCATAAACCACAGCCCCGCCTTCTGGGAGCTGTGCACACAGTTCCAACCTCAGTCATCGGCCCAGAGTCCCCAGAGCCCTCCCCTGCATGGAGGGCATCAGCGGGCAGAGCAAGGCTGTCCCCCACCAGCCATGTGACTGCCGGCCACTCAGGGACGCCACCAAGCCTCAGTCATGCATCCGGAGAAAGGATGACAGTGTGTGTGCAAGTTGGGCTGTTCTGAAGATTAAACGCAAACACAAATTGCCAAGCACGCCACCCACACACAGCAAGTACCGTCCAGGGTAATTAGCTACATTAAACCATCTCTCTGAATGGAAAAATTGTCTCCATAAATGCTGCTGAGACATCGCAAGGATTTCTCTGAAGATCTGTATTTTAAAAAGGAAAGTGCTAAAAGCCCAGAAGGGCACAGAGTTCCTGTTTTGCTCACTGGTCTACCCTGACCCCTGTATTAGTTCTGTGTCACAGTAGAACTCCCCCCAAATACCTTTAAATGAATAAAAAGTGAACCTTTTTTTTCAAGTGAATCATTTAAACACTGCTTTCCTAAATGAATGTACTTTCTAGAAGTGGAACCTGTCCCCGCAGTGGAAGCTCACACCCAAGCCCAGTATTTGGAGCGGGCAAAGGCCGGCTGCGCTGAGAGTGAGCGCTGAGGTCGCTGAGAGGGGACCCGAGGGGCACTTGGCAAATCCCACTTGCCACGATGCTGGGAAGTGGAAGGTCTTGCCTCTAAACTGTTGACTTTTCATCTGGGTCAGTGGTGAGAAATGACACTCCCAGCTTGAGGCAAGAGCCAGGAGGCCAGCAGGTGACAGACTGCTTTACCCACCACCACTGGACCAAGTGTGGGCTCCAACCTGCTCCTTGGCCTCATGTGCTCATGGGTGAAAGGCAACCTTTCAGGCCAGTCCCTCAAGTTCAACCCTCTGTGGATGAACTTCTGTATGTTCTCAACAGTGTGGGTAGAAGGAAACCTGGCTCAAGTTTTCCACCCTTCCTTCACTGATGGGACTTCTTGCTTCAGTTCGTGACAGGTGGCCATACGAGTTCACATCTGTGCCTTATAGTTAGCGGGGGCTCGGGACGTGTATCTGGAAGGTGATGAGAAGGGGGGCCACAGGCAGCGGTCATGCCTGTGGGATCGAGGGCCAGTGTGCCCATTGGACTCCCTCCCCGTTTGTAATTTTGGGTAAACTGCTTCATTCCTTTGTGCTTTCGTTGTTCCCTGACCTGTAAAACGGGGATTCACACTGCCCTCTACGTGGGATTAAGGTGAGCATGAAAATAAAACACAGAAGGAGCTCAGCAGAAAGCCTGGTATACAGTGAGTGACGCATGCCGTCAGCTGTCAGGATTACCACGCGCTGTGTAACAGACACGCCTGCTTTCCTTTGCACTATCTTTATAGATGCTGCCCAAACTGACGACAGCAAACCAGGAATGGACCCACAGGCAGTCAGAATTTTTCCCTGAGGTCACCTGCTCTTACAGCCAGTTTCCTAGGATCCATTTTGCTGAAAACCAGAGGCTCCTGCCTGGAGTTTGCCCGTGTCATCAGGGCACTGGGTTTTGCACATGGTGGGGGAGTCAGTGCACACACGACCACTTGGGCATGGAACTCTGAGCAATTTCTGGGGTAAAGCCTCTGAGCTTCTTGGATGAAGGATGTTACCGCAGAACTGAATCACGGCTCTTCTGCACACACAGGGCTTTGACTCAGCTCCTCTGGAGGAGCTCAGGTTTACTCTGTGTGCTCCCTGACTTTCCCTGGGCAGTTCTGTAAAAGGCAGGCGCCGCATTCAAGCCTGCCAATGTTTGGAAGCAGGGCTATTCAGGATGGATTGTGCCTCCTTGTCAGAATCCCTCCTCTTCCACACTTGAGGACGGCCTCAGGATGGCCCATTCCCCATGATTTACCACCCCTGGGTCTCTCAAGTGGTTCTGTAATGTTCTCGTTAGGGACTTCAATCTCTGACAAGACTGCACTCTCATCTCCCGTAAACAGAGCCTTTGAAATAAAGAATGTCCCCATCATCTCCCACCGATCCATCAGGTAACTTCCATAAAGTTTTTTTGTTTTTTAACTTCACTGCTAGTTCTCCAAATTTAATTGTTCCACTCCCCTCAAGACAGAAACCCATAAAGAATATCTCTCTACTTGCTAGTGGGATGCTGCCCCATTCATGAATTGAATGTTGAATAAAGCCAATTAATCTTCAAATTCATTTGGCTGAACTTTTTTAAAAAAAGAAACCTGTAAGACACATGTACAGTGCATTTCCTACGCAGACTGGATTGTTTTTATTTCTCCTTATATATGTAGGCTCTTTATTTTAAAGTTTATTCTACCAGACTATGACCTCTTGTGGTCAGAGACCACGTGGGTCCACTCTGAACATCCCCACGAGCATCCTTCACCAGGGCCACAACGCCCACTGTGAGGACTCCCTTCGCAGCACAGCCCACACTGCCCCCTGCAGCGGTCCTGCCTAACACGCGGCACTGAGCATCACGGATGAACTCTTCCCGATGCTAACAAATACGGCGGAAGAAGGGCAGGGTGCGTTCAGGTGAGGCTCACAGGGGCTCTTCTGGGTGCTGGCAATAGTCCTATTGTGGATGTGGTCAGTGGCTTTATTAGTGTCGCTTTATGATGATCTAGTAATATTTATTTTTATTTCTAAATAGAGTATTTAGAAATAAAAGAGTTTGCCTTGAGGACATTATGCTCAGCGAAATAACTCAAACACAAAAGGGCAAATACTGTATGATCCCACTTACATGAAGACTCCAGAGTGGTCAAATTCAGAGAGACAGAGAGCAGGATGCTGGCTGTCAAGGGCTGGGATGGTGGGAGGAGGCAGTGCTTGTTTAATGGGAGCAGAGTTTCAGTTTAGGAAGATGAGAAAGTTCTGGAGATGGATGGTGTGACGGTTGCACAACAATGTGAATAAACTTAACGCCACTGAACTGTATACCTAGAAATGGTTACGATGGTAAGTTTTCTGTTGCGTGTAACCAAAATAAAAAAAAAACGAGTCCACTCTCCATCGCTCCTTGTAGGACACATGTTCAGTGTTCCACCCAAGCCCCAGATAGTCTAGAAAAGAGCACTTTCAAGGCAGCAAGGCCGCCTCGCGGGCCTGCAGCCTGAGAGCCCCTGGGGTCTCCTCTGCTGGGTAGATCTCCTCAGACAGGCTGGTTCCGTGATGAGGCAAAGGCAGTGATTCTGTGGTCTGCTACTTAAGGACAACCGCATTCATCAGTAACGCAGGTGTGTTTATGAGCGAGGTCTACGAGACAGCCTCTCCTTCGGTGATAACGTAAGCGCGAGCATTGCCGGGTCAGTGCATCCTGAGGCGGGGAGAGGGACGCTTTGGCAGAGGGATGCCTCCACCTCCAGGGGAAGGAGAACACAGGGCGTTAGCCGTGCCCGTGGAGGGGAGGCTGGTGGTGGCACGGCTGCCCCTCCTGAATGTAAGACAGCATTTGCCAAGTTCATGCTCTGCCCTCCGGAAGGCTGATGGGAAAACCATCCCTCCTACACAGCAGAACCGTAAGTGGAAGCAGCACCCTCACCCACACTGAGTCAGTGGAAATGAAAACAAAAGAAGTGAGACAATCCGTCCACAAGCGTCTACTCTAAACTGCTGCTTGGATATCCGAGAATGACTCAGTGGTGGAAACTGGGATTCTCAGGCGTCCTCTTTTAAATCAAGCCCTCAACGCACACAGCTATAAAAACAGTACATATGGACTTCTGGGGGTAAATAAAGCAGCACCTGGAGGCTCATTACCATATTTTCTTGAAATCCTGTTTGCCTTGAATTCAGTGCCAATTCAGAAGACTAATGTGTACAGACATTCGTTCAGGGAAACCTCAGTCCCTTCTCTTGGAGCACTCTTGAGGCTAAATATTAACAAATGACTACGAGGAGATCCCAGAGGACATCTCTGGCATGAAGCAAATATGGAGTCACTCAGGCAAAGGATCCGTAGAAATGCCAGCTGCCCCCTAGCTGAGCTCCGGTCCTCCCAGTTAGCTTTGGAGGCCAACAAGCTGGGAGGGGGCCTTTCTCAGCGCCAGAGTCTACCAAGTGGGTTGAAAAGAGGAAGCAGTTCGGAGAACTCGACTGCTCAGGTACAAAAGCTGGGAAATCCAGGGGGATTTGAGGATTACGTGACCTCCATTACCAACCATGAAAGCCAAGCGGTAAAGCCTGTAAGAACTGTAAGTCTGACAAGACCCGACTCGAGTTAGAAACTGGCCCCATTTCTCTCCTAGGATGGGTGTGTTCCAAAGCCATTTCATGTTCACGTTACATATTCCATGAAAATAACCAGGCTCTGGTGTCTGCGAGGCACTGATTTGGATGCAGGCTCTACCAGCCCCATGAAATGTGAGCTTAGACAAAAATCTGAGTCTGTCAACGGGGGTGATGATGGTACCTTCACAGGAGTGTTGGGGAGACCAAGTGAGACACTGCATGTCAAATACCCGGAACACAGGACAGTCCCCATTAAAAAAAATTTACTCTTTTCTACAGATAAAAGCAACGTCTTTGCTAGAGTTTGGCAAGTCAAAGCATGATGAGCCCAGGAGGCTTGTCT